GGCTGGGCGTGGGGAGGGTCTGCCAGGACGGTGAGTGTGGCCACTGCTGGCCCGTGGCCGGGCAGAGGCTGGGCGTGGGGAGGGTCTGCCAGGATGGTGAGTGCTGGCCAGGCCGGGGGCCGGCTGGGCTTGGAGGGTCTGCCAGGATGGTGAGTGCTGGCCAGGACTGGCTGGGCGTGGGGAGGGTCTTCCAGGACATGAGTGCTGGCCGGTGAGTGCTGGCCAGGGACCGGCTGGGCGTAGGGAGGGTCTTCCAGGACGTGAGTGCGTAGTGGGGTGCGGGGAGTGGTGGGGGTGGAGTGTGTCTTCCAGGATGGTGATGCCCAGTGGAGGTGGGGTGCAGCTGAGCGTGGGAAAGGCCTTCCCAGGTGGTAAATGCCCTCACGGGTGGCCGTGGCGTGGCGACGGTCCAACATCCTCTGCCCACAGCTTCGCAGGGAGGGCTCTGGAGGACAGTAGGGCCTCCCACCTGGGCACAGGTGACAGCCCCCCAGTCTCCAGCTCCCACAGGTGACGCCCCGCACCCCCATATCCCACAGGTGACCCTCACACACACCCCCACAAATGATGCCCTCCACCCCAGGTGCCCACAGGTGCTGCCCCACACCCCAGGTGCCCACAGTGATCCCCCCACGCCTACAAGTGACCCCCCTCCCATGTCCGTAGGTGATGCCCCTCCCCACCCCCAGTGCCACAGGTGACCCCCCCCACCTCACAGGTAACCCTCCTACCCCACAGGTGGCCCCCTCCAGTGTCCACAGGTGACGCCCCTCCCCACCCCCAGTGCCACAGGTGACCCTCCCGCCCCACAGGTTACCCCCCGCCCCACAGGTGACCCCCCCACCCCACAGGTGACCCTCACCTCATAGGTGACCCCTCCCGCCCTCAGGTGACCCCTACCTCACGGGAGGGGCCCAGTGTCCACAGGTGCCGGCTCACGCGCGTGCTTCACTGTCGCCCTTGTTCTGACCCAGCCTAGCCCCAGCCCCCGCCTGCTGGGCTTTGAGGGCTCAGAGGGGACAGGCGCCCTGGCACAGCCACTGGGCCCTGCGTCCTCACACTCAGCACCAGGACCCCACCCTGCCCGGTCCCCCGCCCGTCAGGTGGGGGGTCCTGGGGCTCGCAGGGGAGAGAATGCCGAGTCACTGCTGACCGGTGGTGGGGGCCTGAGGTGGGGGCAGCGTCTGGGAGGAGGGAACCTGGAGAGAGGACCCCAGTGGCGATGGGCACCGTGCGGGAGAAGCCCGGCCCCCAAGGGCCTGGCCCCGGCGCCCGGGCTGGC